TGACCCCCCCCTCCCGACCCCAAGCAAAAACCCCCCAAAAACCCACTCCTCTTTATACCGTCGCCATTATGAGTGTACAGCAACAACAACTACAACTACAACAACAACAACAACAACAACAACAACAACAACAACAACAACAACAACATCAACAGCGATTTCGCAACACCAAGAGCTACAACAATAGCGACTGCATTGAGGACGTCCACACTTTCAATTTCTAGATCGCTCTCGTTATCGTCATACATCAACATTCAACAACAGCATGCGCGGCATAAGTGGCCATTGTGCAGCAACAAAAACAAACTCCTGATTCCTGATGGTTCAACAACAAAACTCCGGATCGTGTTCCCCATAGGCTTAAGTGAACGCTATGGAATGATGCAATTATCTTTCCGACCGGCCTGTAAACATTTCTCGCAGCCCGGGTACTCTACACTGTCACCCCTCTATCTTTACTCTCCGATCCTTATTAAGCAATCTTTTCTCGAAGAGCCAAGAGATACTTCCGGTTACTGCTTCCCCGATTGTTTGTACCCGCGTCTTTCCATGGAATATTTTGGAAACGACATTTAAAGGCAACAATAATCTATCGAACAGATAATATTATGATACTTGACCTGGATGTAAGGGTCGGCTTTAAAGGGAACGGATGGGAAGAAAACGGGGGGAGGGAGGTGTTACAGGAAGAATGAAGGACACGAGACGGGATGGGGTAGTAGGGGGAGGACAGGAAGTGTGCACGAAAGATTCTTTGCCAATTATTATCAGATTACCAGCGCACGGGACGTTGTATTGCACTTCAGGGAGCAGACTACGACGCACTTGAATAAACGACTGCCGTTATTATCCTGTGGTGAAGAGAGAAAGGTGGGAGGGTAGGGGTTGAATCTTAGCGCTAAGAGTTGAATGTAGGCCTATAGAGCGATCTCGGTAAATGGAAGGGAAAGGGGTATCTGTTCGTGGAAAAGGGGGAGGGGGTTATTAGGGTGGGAGAGCGATTGGGGAACGGAAGGGGGGTTGTTAGGGTAGGAGTGAGATTGGGAGACGGGGATTGGGGGAGGGGGAGGGTATTCGCAACGGAGCGCGTGCGTGCGTATGCAACTGATTTGTGATTTTCGTGTCCCACCAACTCCGTCGTACGGCAGTGCACAGGTGAGGTCGAGCCGATTAACCAATCAGGTTGCAGAATTAACGCGCGGCAAAGCTTGTGAATGGTCGCTGGTTCGCGCACACGCGCCCGTAGGAGACACTGCCTGAGTCGGCGGTTTCATTCACCTGGGAGAGAGGGCGTACACGTCAAAACGAGAGAGAGAGAGAGAGAGAAAGAGAGAGAGAGAGAGAGAGAGAGAGAGAGAGAGAGAGAGAGAGAGAAGAGAGAGAGAGAGAGAGAGAAAACACGGCCAGGAGTATGATTTGCTTTAGAAACTTCAGGTAAAATACAGTATCGATACTGAGAAATCTATGTGACTCCACAGAGTGTGGGAGAGCGAGAGTAGAGAGGCAGAGAGAGGGTAGGCTACCTTCTATTTAAGCAGCGATTGAGGGGCCCTTAAACTCCAAAGTTTTCAAATTAAGCCGAACACAGGTGCTCCTTTCTTACTGTCAACTGATCTAGGTCGGAGGCTTTCAATCAGTACGACTGAGCGTGAAGACTAGCGGATGTCAGAACCAGCTACAATCTTTTAAAGTTCATCATTTTGACAACAAAGACTTTAAAGTATTTTATTAATAATTATCCAGCTGGGAAACACCGGCAACAACCCTTCAGCTACATCTGTTATTAGGACAACAGAACGTTGAGATCGTCTATCACAGCAACAGCACTGCCCAGAGAATAGAACAATAACATTTACCATAATCTGTACATTTTACAGAGAAAAACTAACTTTATTTTGTGAATCAAAACTCTCCCGAGGTGCAGCCAAAAGAGACCGGACAAGTGCCCCACAACTGCCGAAAAATCTTCAAGTGACTTTCTGGAAAACTCGTCTTTGACGTACCGTCATTAATTAATACCACCGTGTTTTCTTATCCCAGTACATTTATTTGTAATCGATGGATATGAACGCGGTGAAGCGACAGATCTTGTATCTCTTCTATGTCTTGTTGGTTGGAGACGTATCATTTGGGGCCATACGACATCTTAGAAAGATATGTAAGGTGAGTAACGGCTTGTTTGAGTTTACAGGTTTGCATTTGCTTCATTGTTACTGATGATGTTGCTGCTTTTGTCGTCATCATCGTCACTGTTGCTGGTATTGTTGTTGTTGAGTAGTTGTTGTTTCTATTGTTGTTTTTGTTGCGAT